CATCAGGGATTCTGTGCTTCCGTGTGAGAACATATCATCAACAGGCTCCTTGTTAACTCGTAGGTGGCCAAAGTGACTTGGCTCAGAACACCTGCAACAGCCTGGGGTCCCCACGGGGCAGTGAGCAGCTGAAATGGCCGTAGAGGCCAGCTGAGGGCAGGGCAGAGGAGCCGTGTGAGTCCGCACTGCCCAGCAGGGACCAGATGAGGGCAGAGGAGCCGTGTTCCCCTGCACTGCCTGCACTGCCACAGGCATTAGCTGGCTCCCCACCTAGAGCAGGCCTTGCAGAAGCGGGGCCCGCAGCTGCGTACCAGCAGCATTCCTGGAAGGGCTGAGAGGCACAGGTCACTAGTGAGCTGTTTTGTGAAATTAAAGAAAATGTGTAACACCAGGAAGAATCACGTTTAGTTATTTAGGTAAGTTACATGGTGTCTTCTCTTTCACATAGACTTGAACCTGTGAGAGGTGTCAGTATTTTAAGAATGTCCTTCATTTGGATGGCTTCCTGGACCTAGGGAAAGCACGGAACAAAACTGGCTGGGTGTGGGATGCCACTTTCTCGCCACTCCCAGACTTCCACAAAGGAAACAGAGAAAAACTTAAAAATTAAAAAAAAGTCCCAGATTAGGTACACACACGTAATCTTCCATTAGACTTGGCATAACCCTGTCTCCACAGGCAATGAACTGTAACCTGACTTGATGTGCAAGCCAGCTGTGACCTAGAGTGTGACAGCATATGCTCCTGGGGCAAGCTGACAGTCCTCAACCAACTGCTGCAGTGAGGCAGGGAGTAAGGTCTGCATTAGACTGCACCAACTCCTTTCTGCAGGCTATGAATGCAGCCTGCCCCCTGGTGGAGAGGATCACAGACTGCCCCCTGGTGGAGAGGATCACAGACTGCCCCCTGGTGGAGAGGATCACAGACTGCCTCCTGGTGGAGACGATCACAGCCTGCCTCCTGGTGGAGACGATCACAGCCTGCCCCCTGGTGGAGAGGACCACAGCCTGCCCCCTGGTGGAGAGGATCACAGACTGCCCCCTGGTGGAGAGGATCACAGACTGCCTCCTGGTGGAGAGGATCACAGCCTGCCCCCTGGTGGAGAGGACCACAGACTGCCCCCTGGTGGAGAGGACCACAGATTGCCCCCTGGTGGAGAGGATCACAGCCTGCCCCCTGCCTGCCCCCTGGTGGAGAGGACCACAGCCTGCCCCCTGGTGGAGATGATCACAGACTGCCTCCTGGTGGAGACGATCACAGCCTGCCCCCTGGTGGAGACGATTACAGCCTGCCCCCTGGTGGAGAGGATCACAGACTGCCCCCTGGTGGAGACGATTACAGCCTGCCCCTGGAGAGGACCACAGCCTGCACCCTGGTGGAGAGAAAGCCAGGTGGGTCATTCTGAACCACTTTGGCCTGAGTGCCACATGCTATGTGAAGCCTTGCTGTTTAGTTAAATTCTACAAAGTATAAACCTGATATTTGACAATATTCAGTCTTACTTTGGGGCTAGGAAGTTAGACAACATTTCAGACACAAATGTTATATGTGGGAGTTAATCATCAAAGTCTATTGTTCAGGATGGTCAAATAAGCCTGTCACAGTTAGCACTGCAGGCTTCCGAGTGAGGATGTCACAAGGGAACCTGCCAAGTTACTTCAGGGACCCAGATAATGATGATAGAGTTACTATTGAATCACATTCTTACTGCACAAGCCATTTCTATGAAGATGATCATAAAAAGGATGAAAAGGGATCAAGCATAGGTCAAATTTTCAGCAAATGTAGCATTACTGGAATTTCAACAAAATATACTGACACAAGAAACAATCAAAGCCAACATAACTTTACACTAAATGTAAATGATAACATGCTTTAATATTTGTATACCTCATAACTATAAGATTGATATAAAGAAACACAAAGTGTAGTATCCACTAATTAGAAGATTTGTTGTCAAAATAAAAATTCTTGTAAAATTGATCAATATACGCCATATCATTGCTAGGGGATTACCAGCAGTCATTCCTCTGGAGATTGGAAAGCTGACCCCAGTGTTGCTGTGGGATGTTTGTGTGCAAGAGCCCTAGAAGAGTGGAGCCTCCTGGAATCCATCATTACTGCCAGACTATGTTAGTAAACATTAACATGAAATAGATTTATAGGCCTATGAGGTTGAATCCAGAGTTCGAAGTCAACACACAAATCCAAGATCAACTGAATATTGACAGAGTATTAAAATGCAATAGAGAAAGCATGGGCTTCTTGGCTAATGGCACAGGTACTCATGCGGAAGAAGGAACTGAGCTCCTGCCTGCCCCTGCACACGGGAATCACCTTGACATGAACAGAAACTAAAATCACGGTGCTCTTCAAAGAAAATATAGGCTCAAATCTTTCTAATTGCAAATTTCATCACAGATTCCTTAAAATCACACCACATTTATAAGCCCAAAAATGGACTCTTACAAATGTGTGCACTTCATAGCTTTGGGAGTAGAATGCAGAGGAGGTAACTCAGCAGTCAACACAAGCAACTAATCCAGTACAATGCTCACCAGCAGGAGGAATGGCTCAGCAGGACAGTCCCCACAGCTCCCCTGCTAGGCTCGCACCCACCCCCACCAAGTCACAGCTGGTGGGTGCTGTGGCTCAGTCCGGCATGGCTCATCTTACATTGTCATTTACCAGCAGCTGCTGTAGCCTGGCCCATCCCCCATCTAGCCACAGTTCCAGCTCGTGCTAGTGGTTGCTGCCACCCAACCCCGCCCACTTAGCCCCCAGTTCTGGCCCTAATGTGGACTGGCTGATGCTGTGGCCCCACATGGCCCAGCCCACATCCTATCCTGGTTCTCAGATTTTCCAGTGAGTGTTATAAACTGGCCCCGCCTGGCCTGCCCCCAGATCTGAGCCACACATGTGCTGGTGGGTATTGTAACCTGGCCTGGTCTGAGCTGCTCTTTGCCATGGTTGTGGTCACATGCAGGGACTGCACTCTGACAAAGGAGTCCCTGAAGCTCCTCTCTTAGGTGTCCTCCCAGTGGCAGATTTTATGCACACCAGTGGGTCCTTGGCCAGGCTGACTTATTCCACCTCCTGTTGTGACAGGAACAATGGCATTGCCCAATTGACTCACATCTATTCCAGTTCTTACTGTTGGGTGTTATTGCCCAGCTACCCTGGCCCCCACACAGACAGCTTTTGCATGGTTCAGCAAAAGCCAAGACCTAGCCCACCCCATTCTACACCAATCCTGGCTCTCACAAGCACCGTGTATGCTGGAATCTATGATGTGAAGTCTTTAAGGGAGAAGTAAAAATGTAATTGGGGCCCAGAGCGATAGAGTAGTGGTTAAAGTCCTTGCCTTGCATGCCCAGGATCCCATATGGGCGCCGGTTCTAATCCTGGCAGCCCTGCTTCCCATCCAGCTCTCTGTTTGTGGCCTGGGAAGGCAGTTGAGGACAACCCAAAGCTTTGGGACCCAGCACCCATGTGGGAGGCCCAAAAGAAGCTCCTGGCTCCTGGCTTCGGATTGGCTTTGCTTCAGCCATTGCAGCCACTTGGGGAGTGAACCATCAGATGGAAGATCTTTCTCTCTCTCTCCTCCTCTCTGTATATCTGACTTTGCAATAAAAATAAATAAATCTTTTAAAAAATGCAATTGGACAGTCTGTGTTCACACTAATCTGTGAATATGCTAAAAGCCACTGAATGATGTATTATAAATGCCAAATTTTATGTATATGAATTTACCTAAAAAACCCATTGGGGATATTCTAGTTGCCTGATAGGATTTTATAATGCCTTCAGGGATGCAGCAGATGTAATGCATGGTCATGCCATTGAAACACAAAATTAACATTTAGTTTAAGCAGCAAAAATAAATCAAATCCATTAGAGTAACAAGATATTGTGTGATAAGGGCTGATGAACTACATGGGCACAGAAAGCAACAATGCTCTGCAGAGCAGGCAAGGGCTGTGTTCAATTCTCCAGGATGCAGAGGACTTAAACACACAGAGCGCCATCTGCTGGAAATGCTCAGTGATGTAAATTAACAGTCTACAAGCGGCTATTAATCCATGAATGATGCTAAGGGATTAGACCTGCCATCTGCTGGTCGCCCTAGCGTGATGCAGAGGAGTACACCTGCATCTGCCATCTGCTGGTCGTCCTAGTGTGATGCAGAGGAGAACACCTGCATCTGCCATCTGCTGGTCGTCCTGTGCACATCCCAAGTGTGGGCAACTCATGGATCATTGCAGTAATAATTATGTAAACAGACTTAAAGAGCAGAAATCTTTAGAAAAACTTTCCTGAGTTTTGTGCAAAATTCTTTGCATTTCTTGAAGTGATATCCAAAATCATAATTAGCCATTCTAAACATTGATAGCCTTCTAATTTATTTAGAAAGATTGTAGTTATCAACACAAGAATGCATAAGAAATGACAATGATGAAGTTATCAGTTGCTGATGATTGTGTGCCTAAATGAAATAAAGATCGTATCTGGACCTACTACAATATCTACTTTTAACAAGGATCAAAATAGCAATTTGTACAAGTTATCTTATAGACAGAAACCTAACATTCATCATCCACTTCCAAACTCTTGGAATTACCTTAGTCAGTGCCAGGATAGAGGACTAGAGAAACTTCAGACAGGCCTGGCTGGATCTATGACCAAACGGGCGTCTCTCCGAGACTAGAGGATCAGCTCCAGCCTGTGTCCTCACGGAAAGCTAAGAACTTGTACATGAGCTCCTGGCATGCCCAAGTCGAGGGCATTCAGGGCTAGCAACCAATAGCATAGCCAATGTTCTCAGGGAGACACGGGGCCTGCTAATGTGCATCTCCAGCCCAGCTGGCTTATGATGTGTTTCCAATAGTATGTTACAGATGTTTTACATTTAAAGAGAGGGAAAAACACGAGGTGGCAAGAATCGAGCAGTGTCAGTGATTCCAGGTTCCTTGTGACCAAGTGGAAGCTGTAGGATGAAGTTATGCAGCCGTTCCCTTCCTCAAAAGCTTCTTAAGAGCCCTGGCCACTTCCCTGTTCCTCAGGCTGTAGATAAGGGGGTTGAGCATGGGGGTCAGGATGGTGTAGAAGGCTGACACCATCTTGTCCTCATCTGGAGTGTGACTAGAGGCAGGTCTCATGTACATGAACATGGCGGCCCTATGGTAGAATCCTACCACAGACAGGTGGGAGGAGCAGGTGGCAAAGGCTTTGTGATGGCCTTCAGCGGAGCCCATGTGGAGGACAGCTCTGAGGACATGGGAATAGGAGATGGTGATGACAGTCACTGGGAAGATCAACATCACCACACAACAGATGAAGAGCAGTCTTTCAAATGCAGATGTGTCTGTGCATGACAGAGGCAGGAGGGCAGTCACATCACAGAAACAGTGGCGAATCTCCAGGGAGCCACAGTAAGAGAACAACAGGGTGGCCACCAGTACAATGAGGCCATCCAGTGAGCCCAACAGCCAGGATGCAGCCACCAGGAGCCCACACACTTTGTGGCTCATGAGAATCGGGTACCTCAAGGGCTGGCAAATGGCCACATAACGGTCATAGGCCATGGCTGCCAACAGGAAGCATTCCATTCCTAGCAGCGAGACATAGAAGAAGATCTGGGTTCCACAGCTGGCTGGTGAGATGGTTCTCCTCTCGGACAGGTAGTTGAAGGCCATCTTGGGCACGGTGGTGCAGATGAGCATGAGGTCCATGAGGGAAAGCTGGCTGAGCAGGACACACATGGGTGTGTGGAGCTGGGCATCCACATGGATGAGGAGGACCATGGCTGAGTTCCCCATCAGGGCCACTAAGAAGACAGCCAGGATGAGCATGAAGAGGAAGGTGTGAGTGGAGCTGTGGTCGAAGATCCCCAGCAGGATGAAGGTGGGGCTGAAAGTATGATTTCCCCCAGAGCATCATGGATGGCTTGTCATACCTGGAAGTTTTAGGGAAGGTAAGCAGTTAGGCTCAGTTTTCAGATAGGTATGGGACAAGGCACTCAGCTGGCAGTGCAAGCATTCCAAATATGGGATGCCTTCCCCAACTTCAGGGGCTGCCTGAAAGTTGCAGTGAGTGGGTGGGCCACTGGCTCAGCTGTTTTCAGCCATTATTAAACCAGGAAGACACTGCCCAGCAGGACACAGGCTCACCTGCAAGTGACAACAGTGCGTTTATTCTAATCCCAGCAAGCTCAGCCACAGTGGTCAGTAACTGTAGGTGGGTGTCATGAAGACTGTTGCTCTCAAGGCAGTCAGCACTGAAAAAGCTGCTTTCTGTCTTCTCACATCTGCAAACACTAGTCAAGGTGAGCATAGAGCCTTAAGTGGACATCTGTTTCCCCAGCCATGTTTATGATTCCTAACTTCCTGCTGATGTGCACCCCAGGAGGCAGCGGGGAAGGCTCAGGTGGCTGTGCCGAGCCACCTGCATGGGAAATCTGCCTGACTGTCCAGGTTGGTCTTCTCCATCCCTATCCTTCTCGGTGTTTGGGGATTGAGCCAGTGCTTCAAAGCCTTGTTCTCTCTCTCTCCCTCTCCACCTACCAAATAGATTAAAGCATCTTTACAAAAAATAAGATAGGATTAAATGTCACAATTGTCCAGCCCTCCCGTATCTGGATCCATCTTGATCCACATATATGTCTTCTCATTAGTTATTAGTGGGAAACTGAGAAGACCCAAGGAGATGATGGCTGACAATTTTGGAGAGAAGTGACGTACTGAGAGGGACATTAAGTCTATGGAAAAAAGAGGAAGAGGATGAACGCTAAAACCTCAAAGTGTGGGTATGGAAGCTTCTGAGGTGAGTGACAGCTGGAGAGAGCAAGCATCAGTTGGTAAGTCCCAGAGCTCCACCGTGTCTCCCGTCTGGGGAGAGGACCATCACCCCTGCCTCCAGGGGTCTCTACTGGCTGAAGTTGCACTCTGCAAGTGAGGCTGGGAGTTGAGTCACCGCACTCAGATGTGGAATTCAGGTGCTTAACCACTCGGCTAAACACCTGTCCTGGGAACATCTGTTTCCTGATGAATTGTTACCCTTGGCTGAGCCCGGCTCCCACGTCGGCAGTTCTGTTACACAGAGTCTGCGCTGTCAGCAAACCTAATACTTCCTCTTTCAAATCTTTGAAACAATTCCCTGTTCCCCAGTGCACACTGACGCAAAGCCAAGTCACATGTGTCCCCTCACATTCTGCCTGCAGAGGACGGAGCAGAGGCCTCTGCTGCCAGGCCCTCATGCTGTTGGTCCTTCCTAGGTCCTATGCTGGGCTGCCTGCAGCTGATGCTGCATCTGCCGCTGTCGAGGCCTCGATCCTGTAAGTTTCAGTGCTTCCTTGGTTGCTTACATTTCTTGATAAGCCTGGGAAATTATCAAAATTGGTTTTAAAACATCGTGTGGGAAACATCTTGTTGCCTGGAAACCTCCATCTTGGGAAATGAGTTTCAGTTTAAAACATATCCAGGCAATGTAGTCAAAGTGGGAGTCTATTTTAAGAGCTGCAGGCAGTGTGTCAGTGGTGGCATTGCATCCTTAGCCACTTGGGACTTCTCTAATCTCACCCACATGGGGCCATGGGAAGTGTCCACTGATCCTGGACCAGCTACCCTGGGAAGTCCACTCCTGGGACATCTTCTGCTGATCTCCCTTTAAAATGTTGTATTTCTCCTCAAATTTGTAATAGGCAATTCCTCCTAAATGATGCACTCAGAAATGTTTCCTGAACTCGGTTCACAGCCACTCGATTCACAGTGACCCTAAGGGGAAGCATGCCCATGTCCATCAGTGGATGTATGGACCAGGGTGTCAGCAAAAGATAGTAGAGGTGTGCCATGTGCCAGTACCCCACCCTAAATGGTAACAGATGAACTGGCAGGCACTGTGTTGAGTTGAAGCCACTTGTATGAGGTGTCTACACTGTCCCATTCACACAAGGAAACCCCAACAGTAGCTCCAAGAGCTGGGGGGAGGGAGAGAGCTGCCCACTAGCAGTGTGCCAGCTTTGGAAGACAAGCTCCCTGAGGGTGTTTCCCAGCCATGTCATGCCCTGGAGCTGCTGAGCCTGGGCCTGGAAACGAGGGTGCTTGTATCCTGTCTGAAGACTTGTCCTCACAGCTGTCACCTGCTTGTATAATGTAAACGTTTGTTTTCTTACTCAGTAGAAAGTCATTTTCTCTTCCCACTAATGGAGCTTAAGACTTTTCAACATCAAAATTCTTTTTCTATTTTGTTCATTTATTCATATTCTATGAAATACTGTATAGCAAACAGCAGGTGCTCAGTAAACACTGTTTGAGTGGCACTTTAGTTCACTTACAGCTAATGTATTAAAGTCAGATGCTGAAGAGTCGGGATGGTCCTTTGACCCAGCACTGCCTCCAGTGACCTCAGAGAGTTACAGTCAGCTCAGCATGAGGCATGGGGGATTGGGCATAAGCTGTGGGGCCTTTGACCTGAACCATGGGGGACTTTGGAGTGAGACATGGAGGGGAGGGTTCAGTGTGAGCTGTGGGGGCTTTGGCCTGAGCTGTGGGGGCTTCGGCTTGAGCTATGGGGGACTTTGGCCTGAGCCATGGGGGTTTCAGTGTAAGCTGTGGGGGCTTTGGTGTGAGCCCCTCCTTTGCAGTGTGGTGTGCTCATTGCCATGGCTTTGCAAATGCACCTTAGGCGTCTGAACACTCGCGCTGCATTGTTCCTGCAGTCCGACTTCTAGGAGAGACAGAGTGTCAGGTAATTGCAGGTTTGCTGGGCTAGTTTCCGAGTTTTCCAAAGAACTCCCTCTAGACCTCAAGTCCAACACCCGCCTAGGTCTCTTCTTCCCAATCCTGTCACTGATGAGGTAACCGAGGCTTCCACCACTTCCTCACCTCTCTGAGTGCTGGGCAGCCATTAATCCCAGGGGTAGTTTATGAAACTCATGTGAGTACATCTTTCCATGTGAACAGCATGCATGTCTACTCGCCTAATTGAGCCAGATCCACTCAGTGCCGAGAGGCCACATCCCAGCTGCTCCTGGGACACCTGGACGTGTTTAGAGCCTTGCTCCTCAAGGACTTGCCAGGGGAGACACGGAGGTGGCTGTGCATTTATGTGGACATGAACCTAATGGCCACAGCCAGACTGTAGGATGCCTCAAGGTCTCCCCATGAAGGAACACGGTTGTTCTGGTCAAGACTTGGAGAGACTACTCATCTACATGTTACCTGCTTCGGAGGCAGACACTACTGTCAAAGGGGTCGGTCCTCTGTGCAGGGCACAGACATGGTGAGCATCTGTCGTTGTTGTTGATGAGGGTGATGGCCACGATAAGCCCTTTCTTGCTTCTTTCTCAGGCTTTTTGCTCCCTCCATGCACTCCCTTCTTGTCTATGTTAAAACAAAACATAAACCCAATTAGAAATAGCGTCTATCAGTGGTTACAAAACTTAACTATTCCACATTTCTTGTGAAGTCACCCAAATCAATTATTCCATAAAAACCCACCAGTTCATTCTGTGTCAGCTTGCATTGCGAGCTGGGTGGAAGCAGTGACCCCGGCCGCTGAGCGCTGTCCCTGTTTCTACCACCCTAATGACTGTGGCGTTTGGCTGGGGTGATCCCCGAAACAAGAGAGGCCACAGCTCACTGGGACTTAAAACCCAGCTTATCCTGACGCGCAGTGCCCCCAAGACACAGGCTCTGAGACAGAAAAGGGAATCACAATTCAAAAGGAAGATAAAGGAATACAAACTTATTTTTAATGTTTAGTGTAGAATATGGCAACTGTAAAAAGTGTTAAAGTGTTATACCTGTTTCCATGATTTAAAGACCACGTCACAAACCAGGGTGCACTCTTTTCTGTACCACTCAGCCCTGGGGTCACGAACAGGGAGACGGCACCGACTCAGCCACGAGTTCCTGAACGGCTGAACAAGTGTCTGACTTCATGAGTAATGGAAACCTCGGGCAGTAGATTTTCTTTTTATCCTCTCCAAGGTAAGGCTGTGGTATCCTTCATGCTTTCACAGAAACTCATTGTCTTTGGAGCTCAGGCAAGAAGCTCAGCTACTGATCCCAGTTGAGAGAAACCGTCCAGATGATGTCTTTGGGTGCTTCGGGAGCGAGAGCCTGTGACCTGGAGGGACAGAGAGGCTCGCCTGGAGAATTTCAGCGGCAAACAGAGAGTGCGTTTATAAGTACAGAATTGGGTCATCTTGTTAAGCAGAGGTTTCTAAGGGAACACCTTCCATACCACATGATCAGCAAATTGAAAGATTTCCTTTGAAATAGCATGCATTTTAATAGTTTAACAGTTCTGGAAGTGCTTAAGTATGGTTAGTTTAAAAGGCAATTATTAGCAGTAATTGACATCTGAGGGTAATTGAGACAAGTCAGAAGTAGAGGGAAGAGATAACACTTCATGTCTGTGAAACGAGCCGAAGCTAGAAGACCACAGGGAAGACACACAAACCATGCTCCAGGCGTCAGGCAAGGAGGTAGGACTCAGAGGGGGAGGGGGCAGCAGGAGGGCTGGCCTGGGCTTCCAGGGGCAGGAGGGTGGTGGGGGCCATAGCAGTGCAGAGCAGTGGGACTCGGAGGGGGAGGGGGCAGCAGGAGGGCTGGCTTCCAGGGGCAGGGAGTAGTGCGGGGTGCAGACACCTCGCTGGTGACAAGCTACTGAGAGTAACTCTGCCTGGGTCGCGGTCAGGTTCCACCTGTGTCCTGTGCGGAGGCTGTGTGTGGGCTAAAGGGCAGCCAGCAGAGGAAGTGCAGAGGAAGTGCAGAAATGCAAATTTTTATGAGAAGACAGCATTGCATGGCCATTCCTTGTCCCCAGAAGAGCTGTGGTATCTCTGAGGTTAAAACTCAAAATGCGCCAGAAATGCACCTGGCATGGAGCCTTACTTCCTGGCAGATGGTATTATTTTATTTCTCTTTGTTTTTGTTTTTCTGTAGGATATTGTTTTATAACTAGGAAAGTCAAATTAAAGCTCCCCGCTATGATGGTACCACCCAGCCACTCCCCTCCACTCCCCTAACACCTATTTGGTATATCCAGTCCATATATATATATATATATATGTGGTATATGTTTACAATCGGTACGTCTTCTTGATTCCCTCACAAGGACGTTAAACTGGTGTATCTGTTTTGAAATTTTTTTTGTGTATTTGAAAGGCAGAGTAATAAAGAAAGAGTAAGAGTGAAAGAGGCCTCTTCCATCTTTTCTTTACCCCCTAAATGCCTGGGTGAGAACCAAAGCCAAACTCCATGCAGGCCTCCCATGTGGGTGGCATGGACCCACAGTGGAGTCATCCCTGCTGCCTCCTTCTAGTCCCCAGAGAGGGCAGTGCAGGAGACCTGCTTGGGAGCTGAGGGTCGGCAGAGCTGGAACCAGGCTCCTGATGGGTGTGCAGGCATCCTGAGAGCGGACAGTAAACCAGGAGTGACAACAGGGAACACTTCGGGAATACACACAAGCAGGTGCAGGTGCAGAACCGAGCATCCTTCCTGGCTCAACAAATGAAGCATCCATTTCACACCAGGAAGGGAGCTATCATCATGGACCAAATAACCAAAAATCCCATGATATCCACCAACTGTCGGACTTTCTACCATGAACCAACAAGCCTTAGAAAGCCGCAGAACATGGGGTTTGTCAGCTCAGGGGTTTCCCTCCCAGCCACCATGGCCAGCGCCTTCCTCCCCTGGTTAGTGATGGGCATTGCCACTTACTCAGTGTCTTAAAAGCAAATGTTTAGCAAATGTGTCTGTGACTCCAGCACTCCACAGGACAGGATCCTTGAAGAGTCTGAACAGCTAGCATCTGTACAGCACATCCCATAGCCACTGGAGGACCCTCGGGGTTCACAGGAGCAAGGATGGTTTGTCTATGTGGATCAGCTGTTGTTCTGCCTCTCCAAGGGTTCGGCATGTCTCCCCTCTCCCACAGATGCCCAATTCCACCGCCATGTTGGGCTTCTTGCTCATGAGATTTGCAGACGCGTGGGAGCTACGGGTTCTGCATGCCGTGTCCTTCTCCCTGCTGTACTTGGTCACGATCACAGGAAACGTTCTCATTGTTGCAGCCACCACGCTTGACAGGGGTCTCCACACGCCTATGTACTTCTTCCTTAGGAATCTTTCTGTGCTGGATGCCTGCTTCGTCTCCGTCACTGTGCCCAAGTCGTTCATGAACTCCCTGCTGAACAGCAGTGCCATCTCCGTGGTGGGCTGTGCTGCCCAGGTCTTCCTGGTGGTCTTGTTTGTGTATCTAGAACTTCTGTTCCTTACCTTCATGGCTCACGACCGCTATGTGGCCATCTGCCAGCCCCTGCACTACACCGTGATCATGAGTCCACGCGTGTGTGTCCAGGCCACGCTGGCCGCCCTGCTCAGTGGCCTCATCTATGCAGGTGTGCACACAGGCTCCACATTCCGGCTGTCCTTCTGCCGGTCCCGCGTGGTCCGCCAGTTCTTCTGTGACATCCCGTCCCTGCTCCGGCTCTCCTGTGCTGACACCTTCAGTAATGAGGTTGTGATCCTTGTCTGTGGTCTGGTCTTTGGGGGCAGCTGCTTCAGTTTCATCATCAGGTCCTACGTCCACATCTTGTTCATGGTGTTCAGACTCCCGAAGGGAGCAGACAGGAGTAAGGCCTTCTCCACCTGCGTCCCCCACATCCTCGTGGTGACCATCTTCCTCACCTCCAGCTTCTATGTGTACCTGAGGCCAGCCGCCATCTCTGCAGCCCTGCAGGACGTGGTCCTGTCTGTGTTTTACACCATAATCCCACCTCTCTTCAATCCAATCATCTACAGTCTCAGAAACAAGCAGATAAAGGGTGCCATCAAGAAGATCACAAAAGCACGCTTCGTTTAGGACTCAGTAGAGCGAAGGAGGCCCAGCCAGAGCTACTGAGTGGGAATCAATTCATCTGTCAGTACTGAGACAGTCAGCATTGCTGCGGTGTGGCAAATAAGGCATCAAAGTGGATTACAGGTCAAATCTTTCTTTTCTGAGATTTTGTGGATAATTTGAAAGAACTGGTAATAAAAACGTCTTTATAATACGCATTTGTACAGCTGGGAATTCTCACTAAAAATAATCTTATGATGCCTAGGATGTTAATGCTAGAAACCTGCCATGCCAATTGGCCAAGAAAAATCACCTTTATGCTCCAAACGCAGTAGGGGCACAGTGCTTTTTGGAACAGGTGGGAGGGGATGTTGAGTGTCCCCAGCACAGTCAATGTCTCTGAGATGATGGAGATGCAGGCACCTGGATCTGACCGTTAATGTTACATACACGCACTGGAGACACACCCTGTGACTATGTCATTCATGGGTCAATCAAATATTGCAAGAACGAATGTGTCTCTGCATTTATTCTCTCCTCAAATATTGATAGCCCTAGAATAAGAGTGATCTTAATTTTCTTTTTACAAATAACTACTTCTTCAATTCAAAGGCAGAGTAAGAGAGAGAGGAGTAAACAGAAGTCTTCCATCTGCTGGTTCACTCTCCGATGCCAGGAATGGCCAGGGCTAAGCCAGGCTACAGCCCTGAGCACGGGATGTCGCCCAGCTCTCCCACATGGTGACACGGGCTCAGCAGCTGTGAGCACGGGACTTCACCCAGCTCTCCCACATGGTGACATGGGCTCAGCAGCTGTGAGCACGGGATGTCAACCAGCTCTCCCACATGGTGACATGGGTTCATCAGGTGGTTAGTGTGGGACTTCACCCAGCTCTCTTTCAGGGGTGGCAGGGGTTCAGGCACTAGGGCACTAGGCACTCTCCCTTAATAGGAAGCTGAGTCAGAAATGGAACAGCTGGAATTCCAAACAGTGCCCAATGCATAGAGTAAATGTATTTTTATACCTTTTAGAAACGTGGAAAATGGAATGCAGATACATGTAAAACTTAAATATATACTTCAATTCAAAATTATTTCAACATAGTATGTAAGGATGTATTGTCTTTTTAAAATAAAGGACACCTTAAAGAAGCAAAGACTAATGAAATGTTATTTAATTCAGGACAAATAAGAATTCAGTTTGGCTGGGACATCCAACCAAAATTAACAGAGACAGCCTGAAGAATGGTCCCATGTTGGTGACAAGCCAGCCAAGAGTGGCTGAAACTTGGTCTTTGGGTCTTAGAAAAGTGACAGAGTCATATAACACCACTTGGCACCCACACCCCAGTGAGCCACAAGACACTGATCAACACTTAGCAGTGCTAGGAGGGTGGGGATGCAAGCGCCGAGGGCACTGTCAGAGAGCAGCCTGCTGTAGCCAGTCAGCGCGTGCTGCGAGTGAGTGACTGACAGGAAGTGATGACTGACAGGAAGTGGTGACTGACAGGAAGTGGTGACTGACAGGAAGTGGTGACTGTGGGGGCATGTGACTGACAGAATACGGTGACTGACGGGACATGGTGACTGACAAGACGTGGTGACTGACAAGACGTGGTGACTGTTGGCACATGCTTCCAGTGCAGCCCTGTTCTCAGGTACAGCCACAGCACAGCTGGAGGAGGTAAATGCATGGCAGGCTCCAACAGGAGTGCCATGGCATCATGACAGAGTACATGGTGGGATCACCATGTTCAAGGCCAGTGGGCTCAGCCAGTTGGAACTCATACAACTCATTTGCAGAGTACAGATTGCAGTTGTCAAAGGGCAGGGCACTGGGAAGACATTTTATCTAAAAGCAGGAAATCCAGTAGCCTGCTTCTGCCTCAAGCTTGTAAGGTAAAGAAAGGAATAGCCTGAAAATATGAGAGATGAAAAAATAAATAAATAAAAGCAGGGCCAGGCATCAGGCCTGGTGAGTAAGACACTGGATTGGACACCTGTGTCTGTGTGGTGTGCTGGGTTCAGGTTCCAGGAATTCACTAACTTCCTGCTCATGTGGGTCATGGCTTCCAGCTCCCATCACTCCTGTGGGGCTTGGGTTTATTTCCTGGTCTTTGGCCCCCGTCTTCATCCCAGCTAGCCTTCAGCTGTGGCAGAATTGAGAAAATGATGGGAACTTATCTTCTCTCTCTCTCAAACCCCTCCCCTCTCTGAAATGGAATAACAAAAAAGAAGTTTTCTGAAAACACAGTGAAATGGAATCATTAATGCCTGAATGAGCCAGAAGAGAGAAAAGCATTTCTCTTTGTTAACCCAGGAAATGGAAAAATCCTTTTTTGTGATCTTAAATGGCAGTAAGATTCTCATTTTCAAGATGGGTAACTAATTTTGTCTCACGCCCTAGAGGAAAACACGGCTGCTAACCTGCAGTGGTGTAATTGAAGGTTCCAGAGGGACTGCAGACTTAAATCGTCAATGACATGGCAAAATCCTGTTCCCTGGGCTTCCTCTAACACTTAAAGCTGTTGGACTGCCCTGCAAGGGCTGCACTTGTATGGAATCCCTAGGAGGTGAGTTGGGGAGCCCTGGTCCACAATTGCCCAGATGTTCTGTCCCAGCCGGTAGCAGCTCGCACAGTCAACAGCCATGAACTCAGGGCCCTAGTCCCACTCACGGGACTCAACCTTTCGCATGCATCTGTTCCACAGCTGGCTGAGCGAGGTGGTGAGGTTGAGGCTGCCAGCTGCTGTCAGGTAGTGTTTAGAGCAGGAGGGCAGAAGGGAGGCTGCACGGGCTCTGCTTGTTCCTGGCTTTGGGCTTTAGGGTGGCTTGTAGGCACGCTGTGTGTGTCACGAGTGCTTGCTTGATCCAGTGCACATAGATACCCACCAGGAACAGCAGTCTAACGAGAAAGCATTTCCAGGAATTGCTGCCAGTAAGGAATACTAGCACTCACTGTGATAGTTTTTAAAAAGCACACAAATTTGTATTATGTCAAAGTACATCTGAAAATGCGTACTGTGAGGTGCGCATTATGGGGAATTGGAAGAATGAAGTCTTTCTGTCCTACAATGCACCATGGAAAAGTGCAGGAAATGAAATCCAAGTCTGAGAGAGAGTTCAGATTTTATCTGGTGACAGAAATTGGCAAGGAAGCAGCAAGCACAGGCGGACAGGTTGCACAGGAGAGCCTAGGATCTTAGTCTGTTGTGCAACACAGCGGTAAGGTCATGTGTGTTCTGTGAGCTCTGTACATGCACAGTTCAGTCCGTACCAAGTGAACAAAGACACACGGACAGAGATGCAAGATCTTGCCACTCAAGGAGGTGAGGAGTTTGTGCACCTGGGGAAGGACTCGGGAAGGATATTGCTTGGGAGCGAAGCTGCGGGACCTGTGTGCTGCAGGGGCCATGAGCAGACACACATGGCAGAGAGCAGGTGACCCACTGGGGGTGGAAGCCTGAGCAGTGTTCTGCACACGGGGACAGAAGCCTGTTCTGCAGAGACCTTGAGTCCTCAGAGCACCAGCTGCTGACCTGGGGAGTGCTACTGGCCAGGAGCCCGGGAAACACTCCCAAGCAGTGTGTGGCTTGGGCTGAAGGGTAGACGACTGGCTTAGAGGGTGTCTGTGAGGGGTGGCTGAGAGTTTCAGTCTGCATGCCGGGGCGGGGGGAGGTTGCCTGCTTTCTCCTCTGTGGCAGTGCTGGCCCGCATCTTCCCCTGGAGCTCGGGACAGGCTTTGTGCCTTGGCAGAAGGCAGCACCTCCAGGGCCACCCAGATCTGCATTCCACCAACTGCCCTTGCCTAATTTTTCTTTCCCTTGCTCCTTCTGGATCAACATCTCTGTATTCTTCCAACTCTAGTTAATTTGCTCTATTTGCTCTAGCTTTTCATAGTCTCTTGATTTTCTCTGTCTTACCGGCCACCAATACCCCTTCCTTCTCTCCACCTTTCTGTTCCACAGTTTCCTGATTAGCCCATGAGTATAAATATACAAGCAAGAATTCACTGTCCGGCTGGAGTGCAGGATGTTAAGCGCAGAGTGGCTCTTAGTTCATCCCATGAGGTGTTGGTTCAGAATTCACAAGTTCATGGAAATTCTATTGGCAAAGCCATAGAATGACTTACCAAGCAACTTTGTGATGTGAGTTAGGTCTGAACCACTTTGCTCTGATGCCTACCCAGTTCCTCACCTCACTGCAGTTATGAATAAACAGCTCCTTTGCTGTGTCACACAGGTAACCCTCCCTAAGCCGCTGCTGAGGTCAGCTGTGTGAGGGCGGGTCAGAGTTGACAGTGTTCAGAGAAAGTGTTCGGGCAGCTGTGACGCGTGTCCACTGGGAATGACCAGCAAACGGGACGAGAGCTGGTGGCAGGTAATTGTGCAGTTCAAGAGCTGCTGGTGCCTGGCGTCCTGGGTGTGGGTCTGGACACAGTGTGGAGTTGACACCGTATTGAGCAGACACACATAGGTCACATTCTAGCGGCTGACTTGCTGTGAGTTGAATTGTCCCAGACCCTTGAGTGCAGTGACATTACAAATTAAGGGATGGTGAACTCTGCGTCAGGTAACATTATAAGAGAAGAAGCAGCAGAAAATATGTGCCACCCAAAGGTCCTGGAGACAAACTGCACCTGCGAGGTGGTGAGTCCCCATGCTGACAAAATCCCTGCTTGCTTGCCTCTGAACACGGGCCTGGTGAGCCGTGTTGGTAGCCGTCTGTGGGAGGAAGCCTGGCATTTACTGAAGGTGTCACTTAAAGGATGAGTGAGGGGGTGTCTTAGAAAGCGGGTGGCTTAGGAGAGCTTTCACTGCAAGCACGCTGGAGGAGCGCAGGAGGACCGGGTTGCTGCAAGAAGCTCCTGTATCCACTGTTCAAGCTGTGCTTGCGATGGGAGTGGACCTCCTGGATGAGCCTAGTAAGTGCTCATTGAGTCCCAGTGCAGGCAGTAGCTTGGCCTAGGAGACAGACACTAGACTGCCGGTCACTTCAGCAGCAACACAAAAGGGTCCTCAGGAGTCACACCTTATCATGATCTAAATGGTGGTCAGGCCGTTTAGACTTGCAGAAAATGTCTACCCATGGTGCAGTTAGAATGGCTTCACAGCACTTGTTCCATGAAAAGTAAAAAATACACACACATATTGTTAGCTGTCCATCAGCGATGCACTTGGTGCACGGAGAGGATAATGACATGCGTGAGCTTCCTATTGGTGGTCAATAGCCAAAGTTTATTAGGGGCATCACACTTTTACAGACCGAGGATCACATAGGATGTGGGGGGCATGGAGCTTATCTACAGAACCATCAATTGTTCTATACCCTTGTTTGGAACTGTTTTGTTTTGTATATCCCACCAACTGTTCTCATTCACATGCTATCGATTCAGTTGTTCTCCTACGATTTAGCTATACCAATGGAACCCACGCGGTTGTTCTCATACAAACGACATCCAATCAGTTATACAAAAGGTACCCATTCTGTTGTTCTCATACAAATGCTATCAATTGTAATCTTGTGGTCATTGAACTTCTAGGGTCACAATGTCCTTCCACAACATATTCTCATTAAAAATATTACAAGAAAATAGCATATTAACACTATATTATACCTAAGTCATCCCTAAT